TGCATTAATGTTTGATTACAAAATCATTTAGTAATTACTTCTATATATTTTCTATAATATGTAATTTTTGACAAACGAGGAACGAGTTTAGGATAAATTAATATTTTGCCGGCACGCGCCCTTATGCACGTGCGGGTGTAGGTTATAAGTGTGAGAACGTTGTCTAAGGTCAGCCACGCAACACAAGCCAAGTTCGGTTTTCACAGTCTAGAGATATCCAATATTGACTGCACAAATTTAACGATCGTTGATAATCAAGAGACGGTGATCATGAGACTCCTGGATTTGCGATTACAAATAAACCGTTGTAAATAACACTATAGCTTAGTATATAGAATCCAGAATGTCAAACTCTAAAACCCCAAGAGTGCGCCACAACAYGGTCGGGGGTACACGTTCCCTTTTTCCACAGGGTGGTTTGGGTTTTCGTGTCCGGCTTGGCGCTTAAAACAATAAAGACTATCTGGGGCTGGCTGACCGACCTGCCCAAGCGTTAGTGTGTCGTTGTGTTGTATGAGTAGTGAAGTCAAAATGTGATATTTTAAAGCGCGCTTTCATTTAGTCTAGGAGCTGATGAGCAAAAAGGGTGTTAATTTAGGAGTTGGCTGCACCCCCCCTGGGACAATCTATATTTGGTATCATTTTAAAGCTTGAAATGCATAGAATAAGAATCTGCWTGTTACCATTCGTTAAAGGTGTCCGAATGACTTGGTAACCTGGCCTAAACTGACCACACCCATTTTTTATTGTCTTGAATTAAATCGATTATAAATGTTAATTTTTCTATCTATCTTCACCAGCTATTTGATAAATAATGTTTTTTTGACTTACAATACTTTGCTTAAACATTTTGTGCAAGAAAGCTGACGTTCTTGACATAAGATGAAAACTTACATCTTTTTTAGCCTCAACTATTGCCTGAAATTAGTGTTACATATGTTCAAAATACATTGCATAAGTTTTTGCATATCAATTTATGAATATATTCATATGTTCTGGTTGGCTTAGGCTATTCATTCCTCGTACATGCATTTTGAACCATAAAAAGCAATTGATATGAATATTTTGGCCATAAATCTGCAAGTATTAAAACCGGAAGTTACGCAGAATCTACTTCCGGTTTGTGATTTTTTCATATTTTTCAAATATTTCTTCTACAAATATAGAATTTGTTTCATTATTTTTCTAAAATGATGATATTAATTGAAATGTTATATAAATTTCCTTCTAATATGAATATTTTGGCCATAAATCTGCAAGTATTAAAACCGGAAGTTACAAAGAATCTACTTCCGAATCGTGATTTTTTCATATTTTTCAAATATTATACAAATGTACAACAAATGAAATATATGAGTTAAAACTTCAATCTTGAATTTTTGAAGACATATATACAAGGTCTTTCCTAAACTAAACATGTTTGGATATATATATATGAATGCTTGAATTTCCGGCATTCCTGTGCTGCTCCTGCAGTATTTTGGTAAGCTGCTCAATCAAGATGGCGTCTTGCAGGAGTATTTTGTTGCTCATGACTAAATAGACTTGAAGTACCTCATTTGTGCATCCAGGCTTTACCAATTAAGACAGCTTAAACGTGCTAACGCCGTTCCTGACCAACTGATGTGTTTCTACAAAACCTGTATCAGACCTGTAACAGAATATGCGTTTCAGACTTTCCATGATGGTCTTCCTCGCTACCTCTCTGAAGAGCTAGAAACAATTCAGCGACGAGCTCTTAAGATAATCTCACCCGCCCTGAACTATGAGCAAGCTCTTAATGAACACAGCATGACGACCCTTCACCAACGGCGCAAAGACCTGACAGAGCAGCTCTTCAAAGAAATTAATGATGACAGTAACCATAAGCTGTATAGCCTATTACCTCCGCGCAAGTCCACCAACATAGCCCTCAGGAGGAGGCGAACATTCAACACACCAATTTGTCGTACAAATAGATTTAAACAAAGTTTTATTATATTCAATAGTATTAACCATTTTTCAAATTTTTAATTATATACAATATATTTATATATTAGCTTTTTAAGTAATTCAATTTTTCAATCCTTAATTTTTCATACATTATTATATATATATTTATTGCCTATTTTTTTGTAATTGTCCGTTTTCCAGCTTGATGGCTGCAAAGGATTTAATAAAGCTATCTATCTATCTATCTTCAAATCAGCAGTCCATCGATGGGTGCTCACATCTCATGAGAGAGCTGCCGTAACTCAAGCTTGCCGTAAGATTGCTGGAATTGCTGATGAAGATGATGCTGGATCTGTAATCAAAGAAATGGGAGAATCTCGTATGGCAAGGGACGAAGACGATGTCTGGATAAATGCTGGATAAATCCCTTTAAAGATGCAGACACCACTGATATTTGTCAACTAGCATCAGGAATAAGAGCAAGCGACTACTTTGGACCAATGCTTGTGAAGCAAGGACGATCAACAGTCAAGAGGTACGATTGCCTCTTTACATGTATAGTTACCCGAATTCTAGGAGCTGATGAGCAAAAAGGGTGTTAATTTAGGAGTTGGCTGCAACCCCCCTGGGACAAGCTATATTTGGTATCATTCGAAAGCTTGAAATGCATAGAATAAGAATCTGCATGTTACCATTCGTTAAAGGTGTCCGAATGACTTGGTAACCTGGCCTAAACTGACCACACCCATTTTATTTATTATCTTAAATTAAATCGATTATAAATGTTAATTTTTCTATCTATCTTCACCAGCTATTTGATAAATAATGTTTTTTTGACTTAAAATACTTTGCTCCAACATTTTTGCGAGAAATCGGACGTTCTTGACATAAGATGAAAACTTAGTGTTACATATGTTCAAAATACATTGCATAAGTTTCTGCATATCAATTTATGAATATATTCATATGTTCTGGTTGGCTTAGGCTATTCATTCCTCGTACATGCATTTTGAACCATAAAAAGCAATTGATATGAATATTTTGGCCATAAATCTGCAAGTGTTAAAACCGGAAGTTACGCAGAATCTACTTCCGGTTTGTTATTTTTTCATATTTTTCAAATATTTCTTCTACAAGTATAGAATTTGTTTCATTATTTTTCTAAAATGATGATAATTGAAATGTTAAATATACATTTCCTTCTAATATGAATATTTTGGCCATAAATCTGCAAGTATTAAAACCGGTAGTTACGCAGAATCTACTTCCGGTTTGTTATTTTTTCATATTTTTCAAATATTTCTTCTACAAGTATAGCATTTGTTTCATCATTTTTCTAAAATGATGATAATTGAAATGTATGTTAAATATACATTTCCTTCTAATATGAA